TATATATAATGGAGGTCGGAGGTCATCTTCAGAGGTGGCCAGCCTTTTCAAGGTCTCAGCGGCAGCCAGCTTATTTTCCTATCAAATTTACCGACACTGGACCCATTCCGACTCAAAACCTTACTGAGGCGTGCATGTGTCTAGTTTTTCCTTTTTTTTAGTGTAATTTGGTCGGTAAAAGGTGGAATTCTTTTGTCTGGTTAGCCGGGAGAAGCTTGAAGGGGAGGGCGGCCCGTTTTAGCGACGTGAGTAGACATGTACCTATTCTGATTAACCTAGAAGCGTAAGAGTTAATTGATATTTTTTGTGCATATTCGTTCAAAATGTATTTAATGTAAACTTTGTCCACAGTTGAATATTTTTTGCCAGGTAATGTGCATCGTTTTTTTTATATTTATTGATACCTGCCACACTTTATGCTACCGTATTATCATTTTGCTACCGGGTATTTTCTTTCTACATGTAGTCACCATCCTAGCAGAAGCAGTCTTCTTTTAACTTACTGACACCACTGAATTATGTAGTGCACCCAGCATTCCAGTTGAGCAAAATCTCTGTAAAATTAAGTCCTTTAGTGTTACCGTCTGAACACAGGTACGAACTAATATAAACAGCCAAGGATAAGATCTATCATTGATATGTAAATCTGAGGACATAATAGCCTAGAAAATCTACATTGTGTGTGCAACTAGTTAATTGCTTTCATCCAGAATAGTTACGAGACCACTATTGAGTAGCTCTTGAATGCTTGTGTGAAATTTCCACTTTTCTTGTGTATTGAGTAATCCTAACTTGGTGTTGCTAGCTGCCACGACATAGTTAAGCCCGCCGTAGTATTGATATGCAAATTACCTAGACGACAACAGATCTTTGATTTCCATGATAGTAGATCCGCGCTCGTAACCAGTCAACCCCTGACTTATGTCCCGATAGCGCAGAATTGATATAGTGGCGAAATGGACTCTGTAATACTCGTCGTGTATACTTGTTTATAATCACTTCTCGCCGGTGACATCTGCCCAAACCCGGGCCCACGGCACCAATTCACTGTGGCCACAACTAATGCAAGAAGTCTCAACCCCAACTCGCAACTTGCGAAGCTTAACGAACTCGAACACCATCTGCATAAAGAGAACATTTCCATCATCGGGATCACTGAAACATGGTTCTCAGAATCCATCCAGGACTGCGACATAAACATTGCGGGCTATTCCACCATGTTCCGCAAAGACAGAAACGGACAGGTCGGAGGCGGTGTGCCATACTCGTCAACGACCACATCGTATGTAAACGCAGACCAGACCTTGAGACTACCAGCAGTCAGTGGCAGGACATATGGCTGGAAACCCGGACTGCCGGCCAGAAACTTCTCATCGCATGCGTTTACAGACCTCCATCTACTTCAGACATCTTCTTTGAAGAATTCGAACGCGGTATCCGCAAGGCTACAACCGAGAAGGGACAGTTGATCATCACCGGAGACTTTAACTGTCATCACAGGGACTGGGGCGGGGTATCCACTGATAATAACGGACTGATGTTAACTGACATTATTGATAGGTACGGGTTGTACCAAGCCCAACACCAGAGCACTAGAGTAACACCCAACAGCGCGAGTGTCCTGGACCTATTAGTTCTTTCCGATCCTGCTAGAATCAACAAGATGTTTATGTTAGCACCACTTGGCTCATCAGATCATAGCATTGTTGTTTGTCAGTTAAACATGTGTATTCCTCGTAATAATATCAAACGACATATATGGTTGTATGGCAAGGCAGACTTTGACCTTTTCAGATCTGAGCTAAGCAAAGCAAACTGGTCCTGTACTATGTATGGCTCTATAAATGATAGATGGAACAGCTGGAAGGACAAATTCAATAACATAGCAAAAACCTCTATCCCAAACAAAATCATTAAAGTTACATGTAGACCAAACAAACCATGGATAACCGGAGAATTACTAGATATGATCAAACACAAAACAGACCTATACCGGGCCTACAAGTCCTCACCTACCCCTGAAAACTGGACCTGCTACACACAGTGCAAGAACTCTCTTACAACCGAACTTCGGCGCGCAGAGCGAGAGTACTACAGCTCCTTTGGTAAACAGATCAAAACCTCTGACGACTGCAAGCTCCTATGGACAGCACTAAACAAAGCTACTGGAAAGGGTAGGACGGGCATCCCTGCACTGTCCAGCCAGGGTTCGACACTTGACAAGGATAAGGACAAAGCAGAACTATTGAATGGCATATTCGTCCAGACCGCAAGTGGTAGCAACTACCCGGACCACATGAAGAGACTACCTCAGTACACCAACAAAGAACTCACACACATACAGTTGTCGGTCGAGGAGGTCTACAACGTGCTCCAGGGACTACACATAAAACAAGGCTCCCGGCCCTGACGGGATTCCTAACCGCCTTCTGAAGGAAGCAGCTCCGGTAGTCAGTGCCTCTCTCCGCGGGTTATTCGACTACTCGCTTGCAACCGGGGAAGTGCCTACGGAATGGAAACAGTCGAACATCACGCCCGTTTATAAGAAGGGAGAAAAGACTGACCCGCACAACTACAGGCCTATTGCCCTCCTGTCAACAGTCGGTAAAATCCTTGAGAGACTTGTGCACAACAGGCTCTACGCGTTCCTTACGGACAACGCCTTACTAAACCCCAAGCAGTCTGGATTCTGGAAGGGAGATGGGACAGTACTCCAACTTCTCCGGATAATAGATGACTGGGCTAAATCGATCGATGACGCTGACGTAGCCTGTACTGCTGCAGTCTTCCTGGACATGAGACGCGCCTTCGATACCGTTTGGCACGATGGCCTGATCTACAAGTTATCTCGATACGGTATCCATGGCCCTCTCATTAACTGGTTCTCCGACTACTTGTCAGACCGTCAACAACGCGTTGTCATCAACGGGGAAGCGTCTTCATGGGGGTTCCCAACAGCTGGGGTACCACAGGGAAGTATCCTTGGTCCGCTCTTGTTTGTGTTATATCTAAACGACATCAAAGACTTACCTTGCAAATCCAGTATAAATTGCTTTGCGGATGACACATCCCTTTACAACTCTGGACGTACTGCCGCTGAAGTTGCCAGCACAACCAACGCAGACTTGAACCTTGTCGCGACCTGGTTTCAAGACTGGGCACTTCAACTACACCCCGACAAATGTAAAGTGATGTGTATAAGATCTCCCCAAAGCAAAGTCAAGCTCCCCCCAATCTACATAGCCGACCAACTGGTTGAAGAAGTGACTACCTACACACATCTAGGAGTCACGATGCACTACACACTGCGGTGGAAAGAACACGCTGAAAATGTCTCCAGCAAGTCAAACAAGGTACTAGGCCTACTCAGCAAATTACAAAGAAAACTGCCCCGTGAAGCGCTGGAAACTGCCTACAACACCCTTGTACGCACGAAACTGGAGTACGCCTCAGTCCTGTTCAGTAACATCGGTACCACAGCCTGTAAGACACTCGAGCAAGTCCAGTATCAGGCAGGACGGCTTGTCTCAGGTGCTATGGCTCGTACACCTCGACTAAAGCTACTAGAAGAGCTAGAGTGGGACAGCCTAGCAGCTAGAAGAGATTACAACAGACTACTCATCTTGTACAAACTAGTATCTGGCTCAGTTCCTCTCCACCTTCAGATGCTGATCCCTACCACCAGAGACAGCCAAAGACAACCCCAAGTCCGGCTTCGTAACGACGCACACCTGCACGTGCCCTTTTGCAGAACGGCCACCTACAGGAACAGCTTCGTTCCGTACACTACGCGACTCTGGAATAGTCTCCCGTCGGAGGTGAGGGAATCTGCCTCTTACAGCCAGTTTAGACAGAGGTGCAGGGCCCACATACTGTCCACCCGCCATCATCAGAAGAACCGAAGGCTAGGTGACCGACAGAACAACATCCTCACCATGCACGAGACTACGTCTTGACTGGTCCCAGCTCAACTCCACACTCGCCAAGTTCAAACTCACCTCTCGGAGCTGCAGCTGTGGAGCCACGTCTGAGACGGTCGCACACTTTCTCCTCAGCTGCCCTCTGTACGAGGACGCACGGCAAACACTTGCCACCGAAGTACGTCGCCTGACAGATCGACCCCTTTCTACAAACATCCTTCTCAACGGTTATCCAGGTCACGACCCTCTTACAGATCAAAACCTTTCGGCCGCTCTTCACACTTACATTTCATCAACAAACCGATTCTAATGACATAACTCCTAGTCCTTCCATCTATTCCTACAACATTGTAAATATTGAAAATAATATATGTTTGAATGACCTCTGGCCTCCTACCATACTGATTTATTATTACTTTTTTGTATACAATGCATTAGCCAAGGTTATGGATTGTAGGGTATGTGATTCGTTACTTTATTGTGTTATGTATGTATGTATTTCACAACGTGGGGCCCGACATCAGCTCAGCTGCCAGG